CTCGTTCCAAAGTGTAGGTTCCGATGGAGAAGAACGAGCAAGAAACTCCATGGTTACTCTTTTAAAATCAGTATCACATAAAGATTCTTTGATACATTATTTAGTTGGTTTGATTATGTGAGAACAGTGTAACGCGTGTATACAGAGAAACATAAAAAGAAAATAACCTTAAGGACAATAGACAGTCAACATCATTTATTCCAACTAAACCATAAATAGGTACTTTTGAAACGTCAAAATAGAAAAGTAGGTAATCTGTCAGTCTGTTCGTCAGTTCGTCAGTGAAGCTAGGTGCTCATTCCAGATTATAGATTCGAATGGAGAAGAACTAGCAAGAAACTCCATCGTTCTCTATCAAATCGAATCCAATCTATCATAAAATTTTAATCCTTAGTCTTATACCTTATGCATAGTCACAATATTTAAGAGTGCTGCTATATAAACTCTTTGGATATATAACTCCACTGTTTACATAAGTGGTGGCATATTAGCCCATTGTATTACATTAGTTTTTCTACGAAACTGACGGCATTTCTAATAAAACTGATAACAAATAACAAATGTGCATTGATAAGAAGTTATTCTCTTCAACTTGTATCGACATTAATTATGCTAAAATAAAATTTTAGCTGAATCAAACAAGCTGCAACTCGATGGGAGTAACGTGTAAGAATAGTCATCAATATCAAACAAGTAACTGTAACATCTGTCTAACAAAATGCGCCAATATTCACAAAACCTATAGACAAGGTTCAAATTGGACCCATGGTTTTGGCAACAAACTCTACCTAAACAATAATTTGCAATTAAATGTTAATCGTAACAACTCCTGATGAATTGTTATCGAAACCTATATAAGAATACTCACCAACATGCGAACATAGCAAAAATATGAGTAATAGTACCACAACAGCTTCAAAACCCTAACTCATAAACCATCTCTGATCCACTGTGAATAAACATAGATGGATCTAATACATAATAAATAGCAACAACGTAGCTAAATATACCCTCAAATATAACGTAAAAAACACAATCATATCAGAACCCACCTTGCTCATTTATTTACTGTCGCAACACCCACCCAAATTTTCGAAACAGAGCAAAAGTGAGGTAAGTTACCTCTCAATCTCCCATAGTCATGTGGAAGGATTTATTTGGGCCAGGCAAGATTGAGGGACCCCAATTTACTTTGTCCATCAGTTTGATATATCGTGTGCACTATCTATGTGACAGTATTGTAAACGAATACATAAAACAAAAATAAAAAGATTGTAGTGATTTTAGAAATAAAAGTCATTCGACTTTCAAATTTCAGAGGTATATTATCTAGTCTGGTAACATTGGTTTAAGTGTCAGGATTATTTTCTACTGTTTGAATATTGGTTTTTTTACCTAGAATTTAAAATCCTAGATAATTTAACGAAACTGAGTAATTGTATTAAATAAGCTCTTTTTCGAGTTATCAACTACTAGGACTTTAGTCTTCTATTGAATTTGAGTTTAGTATCCACCGAAAATATTAATAAGTATATAAAGAAGTTATTTATTTTATTCGATTAATAATCGTATACCTAAAACAAAAATCTACTCGTAAAATAGTAAAGGGCGTAAACTAGAATCAAATAAAAACTCCATATTTTACTTCTGAAAAAGCCCTGTTTTTGATAGCAGTTGAAGAGGTACGAATCCTTCAAACGTTTGGAAATCAATTTGAAACAGAGGATAGAGAAAATATTTCACAAAAATGCAATAGTGATCCTACGAATTCTGATAGATGACCCCTTTTTGGATCTCGGTCGCATCCCTTCTGATTCCGTAACAAACATTCCCAGTGGCAATATTTGCCTTTTCATCCTTTTTTCACTTACTTACGTGAGAAACGGCGTAAGTCGGAACCATATCGGAAGTATTGTATGCATTCTGAATACAAATCAAACGCTACGGGATAAAACTCGCAGAGAGTTTTAATAGAAACATTTCTCACGTCTTAATCAAAGTTTTCTTCCGGCTACAAATAAATGTAATAAGGCGGCAACCGTAGCAATCAGAATTTCATGACCTCGTACGTATTACAAATGCCATGCCAACCCATGATTTAAGACTGATAATCGAGTTCTTGTTATCGAGAAAACAAAAGTTAAATTTTCATATTCTTGATAAGTATCTTTTATTTTTGTTTGAACAGTCTCATCAATAAAATTAAATTTTAATTAGTACCAAAATTTTTATATTTGGAAAGTAGGCAGTAATAGTGGTTTGGAAACCGGAAAAATGTTTCGTTTTCAGTATGCACGTTTCGTCCTTGGCCAAACACCATACAACAAAGCGATGTTTACGACACATTGTAAAACATCACAAATGGCATGTACGACAACATAAGTAGGTAGCTATATACTCGTACACAAGCGGAAAAACTTACTACGCATATCTAACAAACTAGATCGTGACTAGATAGGAGATTTTCCGTCGTATTTTTACCTTTGTAGATTGGTATGTACCTATTGTATACCTGTATTTAGGACTGTATAAAGACGTTTCGTTTCAATCGTACACTCTTGTCAGAGTGGTCGTGGTCATGGTATGTCCTTGGTGGCTGCCTTTGCGATTTCTCTCCACTTTTGCCTGTTAGTGTGGGATTCCTCGCGCACTTTACAATTGAGCTCGATGTATAAAGACATACTGCTTAATAACCTAGAATTGGTTCTGATTGCATTCTTAGTAGACTGTCAGTCCTAATAGTAGCTTCCTCCTTAAATGGTTTTAAATTAAAGGTGTGGGAGAGCCATGCTTCAGCACAGAATGGGTCAACTCGACCGGAATGATACCACGACCCCGGAGAAAACCGGCGAGAAACAACGATAACGTTCGCATTGTGAGCGAGGTTACTGGAGGCCCAATCCTTGCCCTCCCCTAATCCCTAAATCTCTAAATCCCCAATCCCTAAAAGGTCGGCAACGCACTTGTAACTCCACTGTTGCGGATGTCCATGGACGGCGCTGATTGCTTACCATCAGGTAATCTGCCGAATTTGCCGACCTATTATATAAAAAATAATGGGTGCGTTCCTGACACCACATTTTTTGTTTCTTTTTTGTGATGAATGTTCCATTCTGGGATATCCTCCTGTATCGTGGATGCGTTTACAAAAATACAATTTCACACATGACACCCAGAAAAAATTTGTGCTTCGTGCGAGAAACGAACCCGCGACACAATAATATGTCCAAAAAAAGTTAACCTACAAAAAGATATGTTTACACAATCATTACATTTCACAGACATCAATAACTCAAGTATATTAAGTTATAAAGGACAATCTTCTCGAATTATTATGTTTCTCACACCACCCCTCATAATATGCCGCATTCCATTGTCCCAAACCCCATATGCGTCGCCATAAGAAAGGAAAACCTCATCAATATTGAACAATGTTTTTCTTTTGAACATTCCAAAATTACACTGCGTGCGGAAACTGTTATACTAATAATATCGTAGAAATTGTTCCCTTTGAAGTAAAAAGGCAGTTACTTATAAAATATGGACAATAATAATTAAAAAAAATATACATAGGCACGAATTCGTCGGACTGGAGTGATACCACGCGCCCACAGAAAACCGGCGTGAAACAACCACAATGTTGGGTTTCGCCGTTTGAATGAGGTTACCGGAGGTCCAAACCTTCCCCTCCCCCAATCCCTAAATCTCTAAATCCCCAATACCTAAAAGGTCGGAAACGCACTTGTAATTCCTCGGTTGCGGATGTCCATGGACGGTGCTGATTGCTTACCTACCATCAGGTAATCCGCCGAATTTGCCGACCTACTGTATAAAAAGAAAATAGGTCCGTTATCGTACGGGATGAGTAGATACCACATTCCATTTGGTAGGATAATACCTGCTCCCAAATTCTTAACAACAACCTAACCCTCCTTAATATCTTAAGTACTTGAGCATCGTAGTATTTAGTAAAATATAATAATTTCTAGGTACAAAAGCAATTTATCACTACACCCTATCTGCCAACGATACCTACAAATACAGAATACTTGGCATACCACAACTGTGGCGTGCTTGTATTTGAAGTAGATATTAACTTAAGTGGCTCAGTACTACAAAATTCTATACATACCTACGTACTTACATCAATATATTGATATCAACTACTCGTACAGAATATTCTTCTTATTGGCTAATTTCATGAAACAGTCACGTTCGACCTTTGATAAACAATTTGTTTAACACCTCTAAGTTAGGGAGTTTCAAAACGACCCTGACAACTTACAAATAATAAATGTCTGTAGGTACCTTCAAACGAAAGTATCTTGAAACTGTATTTGGAAAGTTTCGAAAAACCCAAATTGCGAAGACGTCTGTATTAGGTACTTTCGTTCTCTCGTGTTAAATACAGTCATTTCAAACTAACTTTACCTACTTATTACATTACCTTCGAGTCTTTTAAAACTGTCTCGTGCTTGTCCCACTGTCTCAGACACATGTGTATGGTTTTTCTTTGCGAGTTTGGTAATATTATGTAGTTTATTTTGTTCGTGTATTAAATAGATATAAAAAGACTGAGAATAAATGAATGTTGTTTTGGATGACATTATTTTTTCGGGTTCATATCAATTGTACAAAATTTTGCAGAAAAACAGTTTTAGTTGAGCAAATGGAATAATAATATAATATCTATTATGATACCTTTACGAAAATGCAAATGCATACGCTACTTATAGATAAATATTGATGTCAAGGTTCCAGCATATTGATTAAAAACCTACCTAGCATGTGAAGTCACACCTGATCGACAATTTAATAGGAACATTCTAACCTTGAAAATAAAAAGACTTCAACTATAAAACAATATCAATGAGTGTATTATCAAATATAAATTTTTATAGTTAATTAAATTAAATAATAAATTGTCATAAAATATTTAAGCAAAGGTACATTAAGAAATTCACAACGTGTTAACATTGAACAAAAAATATAACAATCAAGTTGATCCCTCGTGACTTAATCTAAGTTCGTCATAGTTGCTCTTCGTGAAATATAGGGGTCGTTACTCGAAATTGACCCAAAAAGTTTTTGGTATACCGGGTTGTCGCAGGCACTCGTTCCAACTGTCTGCATAGGCGGATTTTTCGTCTATCGTCGCTTTGCCCAAAATTTCCTTCTTTGCCATTTTCGTCTTACAACCGAGACTAATATAAATACTGACTTTATTCAAACTAGCCTTGAAAACTGTTAGTTTCACCGTAGCAGATTTTGGGTCCCATCTGGCTGATATTGCGGGAACAAATCTATCGCTTTTCCAATAGCATTCAGCTTTGTTCGCTTCTAATATCGTTGCTTTCAGGTACAGAGGAGCTGGAAACAGACAATTTATTTTCATTAAATAATTTTACTTATAACATAGGTTCATTCTTAGTAATTAAAAGTAAGTATAGCAAACTAGTATGTATCGATGTATCGTATATGACAAATCATTACAATAAGACTGAACAGAATACAAGTAGGTACAGTTAGATTGTTAACTACAAAACAATAATCTACTCGTACACGTTCCTGACTGTACTTGCAAAATCTAAAAATGAAGATAAATATAATAGGTATTTGTCTGGTTCATAGAACCACGTGTAAATAACAACTAGTACGAAATATATTTCTTCACATCGTAGGTGTTCGCAAACATATTCTAAGTAAATATTAATTTCATGACACGAACTTCTTCGGTATACATATAAACTCTACAAAGAAGTATCTAATACGTATACGCTTAACAAATTCGGGTACATTATCAAAGTAAATATGGAATTATAAGTATAAAATTTAATATAAGTTACATATAAAGTAAGTTCTAAAACACAAGCCTATATACAGGGTAAACCCTTGCAAATACCGATATAAATACTGTTATCAAATTACCTTATCGTTTAATAAATTGGAACACAATATTGTACATAAAAAACGACCGCAACCCATTGTTTATTAAATATTTTTACCTCTCAACAATATACGGTGCGCGTATAAATCGATATATAGGGTTGAAATATTTTAAATTTTAAGGCTTCATGTTACTATTCCACGAGGATACCCTTAATTAGTTTCAAGCTATGACAACCATGAGCAGCATGCACTACGGTCGCCCGTCATCTTCGATGATTATGTACACCTAGCGACTAGTACACTAGTTATAAAGATTGAGAAAAGTTCTATGATACGTCATTGCATAAGTTGTAAACTACTCAGATATATCACGCCACACCGTTCCATTTCGGATCCGAGCTTGAAAAAAAACTTAGAATTTCGGGAAACGGAAAATAATACCCGATTCAAGTCTACCTTGCTCAGTCATTATACCGACATCTATACTTATAATTATAATAATTTAATGCTAATCTTTCGTTTATTATAAATGAAATGTACTAAGATGTTATCTCAAGTCGGTCAAGGATAGAAAAATCTAGATAACGTCAGCTATCATTTTCTTAAAGAATCGATGAATCAGGAAATAATCTCATATTTCTGTCAATCAAACAGAACCGACAAAGGTTTGATAGTTTTAGGTTTTCCAAGAAAATGCTCCCGAATAAGAAGACCTTATAAAAAGATATCACACGTGTATTTCTTGAAAGGTCAGTCTGAATATGTAAATAACTGTTTTTACACTCTTTCGTCGTGAATAGATCCGTGATGGCCCGAAGGATAAGGAACCCGCTTCTCATACATGAGGGGGCGGTGCGAAATCTGGTAAGTACTAATGTGGCTTTCTCAGGGTTGTATATTCTTTTAAGATTATCTAGTCACAACTGACGCAATGCGAAGGAAAACATTGTAAAGAAACCTTGACTTATAATTTCTAATTATAAGTTTGAAATCGCCAATCCGCGCCAACTTGGTAATTAATGCTCAAAGGTTCTCTGTGTGAGAAGCATTTGCTCAACAGGCGTGTGATACTACTAAACTAAGACTGGTAAGAAGAGGCTTGTCCTTATCTACATTTCCAAACGTAAAGAATGCTGCTACCCCTCTCTCGAAAACTGATCAAAAGTTTTGGTCCCTTACAGTATGGCAGTTATGTCCTACTTCTTATAGGACAGAGATCTTAATCCAGTGATAATAAGTGTCAGCCTGAATCTTAATGTATATGAGCATAGGGTTTTACATCATTACATAACATTGTATCCAGCACTTGATGCCTCATCTTTTTGTGGCGGTGGCCGACCACCGCCACAAAAAGATGAGGCAGTTTGCAATCCGTTGAAGGTTTTTATCAAAACACATCTAATATTATCAATAAATTGTTTGCTTAATCCATTATTATATTAACAACTATCTATAAGTGGAATGCGTATAGATTGTACCTATTGACAGACACATTACCTACTTATCACTGTTATCCTAATTCTATTGACATTATACTGATGGGTTTTCAGCTCCACCTACACCATGGCTGTGATGCGACACAGGTTTTCATTTTCCAACGCAATTAGTACTATCGGTTAATTCAATAATCTTAATGTTTACATGTATTCGCAAACTGAATAATTGGGCCAATCAGTATCAAGTATTAACTTCGCCTATATCCAGTATTAGCTTCTTAGACTAAGGTATTAATTCTCATTGTTTACTTATTAGTGCTATACCATCTGGTCGGTTGCTTGCTTGTTGACATAAGGACGTGTGTACTCGTCTATATATAACTAGTTTCATAAGAAACAGATGTGCAAACGGACACGCGCGGTATAGTACGCGGAAGCGACCCACAATATACACAGATAGGTCAGATGGTGTCGGGGCCACATACAACGGCACCTACTTTCGGGACAAAAGCCAATAAGGTTTGGCTCCATTCAACCTTACACGAATACAACAGTAACCGCTCATGTGTAACGAATATGACCTAAGACCGAAAATCGAAAATGCTGAAATGCGCGAAAAATATTCGGTTTTTGCCAACCTTTCGTAATTGTAAACGCGGGCTTAGCTATTTGAGTTGTGATTCAACGCACATTCGTCTTGAACGTAACTCTCTCCTCTTTAATAAGCAAACAGTATTGCGTGGGCCGCCGCGTCGCCTCGAGTGCCTGTCTCTACAGATAAATAATATGAATGAAGTTTAGTTACACGGACGCGGGCCACTGTCCGCCTGATGAATCTCTAAACAGGTCGAGGTTGAGCTATTTGAATATTTATGAAATTTTCTCAAAGGTATTGGACACAATGTAACAAATTAACTTCCTAATAAATAAGTATCTAGTAATTTAAAGAGTGAAGAGAAGAACGTTCTTTTGGGTTTACGGTTATTATTTCGTGACATTTGTCAGACATCCTCGTACGTCTAGAGATTTTGGTAATGTGTATATAGTACTGTAAATACAAGAATATCATAGAAACCTCAGGTAGAATAGAATTATCTATACAGTATAATATTAAAACAACATTAAGCACCAAATAATCTTGATACAATTTCAAGTAATAATATTATTTGTGTTTTCATTGTTTTACTTATTCCGATATATTCGTAAAATAAACATAGTTAAGTACGTAACATAATATTTTTGCCTAGTATTTTGGAGGTGAATGTAACAATTTTCCCGTGTAAACAATGTGCAAGCGGGGTAACCACATATGCAATACATCAAGTAGATCGCTACGTATTTATCTAAGTGGTTTTTGGAGGGGAAATTCTTCCGTTATTGTTGCTCTAAACAGCTGAGAATCATATCCACAATTTTGGCAATTTTATCTGGACGACATTCCTTATAAAACCATACTATGGAGAACGTTTTCCTTTACGAGTTTATGATTTAAGTCAGTTCGTAGAACATGAACACATAATTCGTGTTAGTTCATGCGACCCGTACTTACAAAAGCAACATTTGTGTATATAATATATTCAGAGCTTGGAACCCTTAACACGAGTGCGGTAAATTGTTTCTCCAAATAGTTGTAAGAGGGATACAGGACGTATAACCATAGACGCTAAGGACTAATGGGACTAGCGATAGATCCTCCCCTCGAAATCATTAGGCGAGGGTACAAGATACATGGATATATTAAGGCTACATTTCAAATAGATTGAGTCAAAGTGACAATTATTTCCCCTTTTTCCTGTACATTAAAGTAATTGTTACTTATAGCGAACACATAATGCCAGTCGTATCGGAAACCGACCGAAAATGTGGCTAATTAGCAACGTGTTATCGACCAGCGCGTATCGTTGTACTGTGTGACTGCTATAATGTCCGCGATGTGTAAATAGCCTACGGATGAATTTGTGTGATACGCATTCATCCATAGGCTTTCTGTTTAGTTCTGTTCATTTTGTGGGAGAATTACAAAATATATACTACTGCAAACTTGTCGAATATAGTGTTTTGGTAGCACACAATAACAAAATAGAGTACATCTCATATCTGCTTGAATAGTATTCTCCTCTTCTTACCCTTATATTGTTCTTGCTGTTGCATCGTCTGCACACTGCATCGCAGTCTGTTGACCGTCAGCTGCACTATATCATTCAGCCCGTCTTCACTCGCCGTATACAATAGAGTAACTTCCAACTGGCCCTTCTTGTTTTCCCGCTGCAGACACAAATTACACGGAGTTTATGATAATTGTCACAGATTAGAGGCCCGTATGGGCAATTTGTATACAATCAACCATATCTGTGCCGCCTTGAACGAACATTACTGGAGATACAAGATATTTTACTAGACAAGGAAGGAAACTGGGCACAGATCCAAATACTAGTAATAGTAAGTATAAAATGGTGTTATGTTAACTACACATACTTTGTAATAATGTTAGTGGAACGATTCAACCGTATGACTTCATGATCATTTGTGTTCTTAAAACGTTGTTCTATTTTCCTTGGGCTGTCATTTATGCTAACAGTTTTTCCTCAACAGCTTTTTTAAATAAAATTTAATACCTTAAACCATTTTAAGTCTTATCAGTATGTGACTAAAGAAGCAATTTTCTAATGTTCTTTCTAGCAGTGAGATAAGCGACTGATAACGTCTTAAGTGACGTAATGACAGTGTTTTATTGCATTTATTTTATGTAAAAATGTACAGAAATATCCATTGACGTAATCTCTTATATAATCTATTGAAGTGTATTTAGATCTTTCAATTGTAGGTGCAGTCAGTTGAGTCGCACGGTGCGAGGATCGAGAATTTCAATTCCCAAATCGGATGTAAGTTTTAGGGTGTTTTTATTTTTAGATTTTAAAACACGTTTTTTTACTCCACGACTGTTAACTCTGAATTTAATGATTCTATTCCATAACTTAATTTTTATCAAATACTTATAATTTTATTTTGTATTTATAATTTTAGGTACATAGTGTTATAGTTGAATTTTTAATAACTCATGATTCATTTTTTGACATCCTGCTACGGAAATATTATTACAGGTATTTTTTTTTTCTGTGTATCTATGTTTGTAAATATTGAAATACACTAATAATTGTTTGTGTAAAAGGGACCTAGTGATAGATCAAAGGCACACAATAAAATTTCCTTGGCTAAATGCCTACATAAGTTTGTACATTTTCAAGAACTTTCAACGCTTATAATTATAGTGATATAAGAACATTAAACTTAATTAAACGAATTCCATGGTAATCGTACCAAATGTTAAAACGTAGCTAAACGTGGTTTATATTCTGATTAACAGACCTAATTTCACTAAGTACTCATCTACTATAATCAACGTTATTTAATTACAAAAAGACACTTCCAAGGATCGTGGGTTCACTACCTAACTAGCTCAAGTTATATGATTCCAAATTATCCAATTTCGACACGCTATAGTTGGTATAAGACATTGTAATTAAAGAAATCAACAGTAGCTACTTTAATAATTAGCAAAAATCAGTAATCAATTAGTAGGTATAATAAAATCGATATGAATTTATTCGCAATTAGACCGAAATTGTGCGCACGAAGATGAAGCATAGTTATGACCTTACATCATCGCAATAAACGTAGGTAGACGATCAGATGGAACCGGCCGAGGTCAAAACTATTCTATTGTACTGAACAGCATTAAGATTTTATTCACACGAACACGCTCCTCGCATATTTATCATACATAACAATGACTCATATATTAATTGATATCGTTATCTTCAACTAGAGATTTCTATTGCTACTCAACTGATATTTAAATACCTAGCTTAAATCTGTAGACAATTTCTTTATGATAAGTTGCCTTGCCCTCTGTGTCACGACCCCTATCAACAATTTTTACATGGTCTTATTACAACGAACACGATAATTAATTTAAATAGAATAAAGCTCTCTTGTTCTAAAGCAACGACTGTATAATTTACTGTGTCTACAAAGAAGTCATTATTTTTTTTACTTGCCTAATGCTTAGTAACGAAAAATAAAGCCTTCACTTGAAATACTAATGATCACACTAAAATATTTTAGAACAAAAATCTTTGAGAACATTTTGTTGAAACGGAGATATTATTTTTGTGTCGACAATTTTATCGCGATCAAGTTCATTACGAACGGAAATAAATTCACTGTGTACCTAACGACTCTATCCTCACTTGCCCATTTAAGGCTATTTTTATCACAGTGATTAGCATCGCTCGCGACAGTGACTTACAGCGTTGATGTTAATTACAAAAAGTACGTACCCGTGAATCCGCTGCCGTGATGCCACTCGTGATGGCGTTGATTGGTCTCCAAATATCTGGAGTGCCGATCAAACCATTTTTAAGATCATTTTGAAACAACTTTGAGTCGAAATTCCAAGTAGCCGCTCCCACTGTTCTCCGTTTCTCCAGAATTGACTTTTGTGCTATCGCCTCGGCTTTCGTTGATTTGAAACTGCTAAATGTCTTTTCTAAGAATCCAGTCTTAGGTTTTGGTTCCTCTTGTTCCGCGACCTTGGCAGATTTTTTCGAATCTAGTGTTTTGCTATTTTTTCGTTTGTCTGTATCTGGTTTTGGAGCCTCTAATATAGCATAAATGGTAAGCGACAAAAAGTGGCCGGCGAGCAAACTTTGAAGGTCAGTTTTTTCTTGTCCCTTCTTAGCATCTTTTTGTTTTAATTGAAATTTAAAATCCTCATTCCACACCGGCCAAGAACTCTCCTGTAATGTTGTTTCGAATCTACTGTCGCCGGGAAACACTTTGACCTGAAAATTTAAAATGTCGTTAAGTATTTCATCTGAACCGAAAATGTATGTTGATGTATGTTTATGTCTTAAACATAAAGTAATTTTTAGGTAAATATATAAATATGTATGAATAACCACAACTTTATCGTTCACAATTAGTTATTACATTTCAACATGACGTCATTATTTCACAACATTGAAATTTATCGTGTAAAGTAAACTACTGAAATTAATTAGAACTACTTTTAAAATTCGATAACATAGCACAAGTATTAAAACAAAGTTTTACGAGTATTGGAATATAATTTTCAATTCTTTTGGAATAGTTATAGCAAAGTTTGTGAATAGGTACGCTAAAAGTGTCTACTGTTTAACTTACGGTTTAACTAGTAAATCAAATACTCTCGCCTTTCTTCTATATTATGAATAAACAAATATTTTTCAATAATAAATACCAAAAAGAAAGAGAAGAGGATTACTGACTGACAAATTGAAGAAATTAACGTGTTGTGGTTTACCCATATAATTGGAACAATGCAGCCAGATGATGATGGCAGACAAAGACAAATTGTCACAAGCAGTGATATAATAAATGTTCGGATCAGACGGTATAAAAAGTATTCACAGCTGGTAAACCTCCCAACTGATGCGACCCTTATAACACTGTTACCACAAAAAAGCGATTTACGTATTATTCTGATTTTGATCTATTTCTCCCTCAATTCTTTTGTATTTTTATCAAATAAAAAGTAAATCTGATACTAATATTATAAAGAGGTAAAATTTGAAAGTTTGTATGTAGGGGGTAATCTTTGGAACCACTAATCGGATTGCCAAAATTCTTTCACTGATAGATAGCTGAGTTCCTGAATGCTATAGGCTATAAAACATCACGCTACGATTAAATGGAGCTGAGCAACTGGTGAAACCGCGCGAGAGTAGCTAGTAACTTAGGTTTCTGTGATGTGATAGGACTTCTTACCTAATGGAAACTAGGATTTGTGACGAGAACCTAAATCTAATTTAAAAGTCCACATTGCAATGGAATAAACCCGGTGATATTCGAAATAAACGCTTAAGAGACACGTTCCTTGAATAAACGTCCTTAATTAGTAAGGATTTCTTTAATTGATGCTAGCATTTGCCTTAAATGTCCTTTTACAAACCCAATACACATACGGGTTTACAAATGTATGGGCTCAATCAAGGTAGCCATTAATCATGAAACATCTCTGATTAGGGTTCGAATGTTAGATTTCCACATCGTTTCAAACTATGGTAATATAAATAGAAGCCCATTGATTGCCAGGCAAACAAGTCATTCAGCAATTCGGAGCAAGACCATTTGACCCGCTCGTTTTAACAGTAAATTGAATCTAAATTAATGTCGATCGAGATCTCTATACAGTGGCATCAACAATACTCGGGCGGAAAGGGTCTTTGTGAATAAGATTTTATTTAGAGAAACCATATTATCGTCTTCCGTAATAAAATACTAAGACTTCTTCTTCCCTTTTGGAGAAATAACTTTAAATTACAATAGTTAGTTAAGTTTGTTCATTATAGATTCCATTTTCAAAATCTTAATTATTTTTGGTTCAGTGGCGTCTTAAAAAAGCTATTTGAACAATATGATAAGGACGTATCTTTTTAGAAGGAGTAACTGCTAATACTCGTAATTAATTTTGCAATTATCAAGGTCTTCGAGGCCAACCACGAGCCCTGAACGCTTAGATATCATTCTATTTATTAGACTTTAAAGATTCGAGGGTGGCAGCACAAAGATATGGATGATGCTAGCTACTTATACAATTGTTATGTTTTGATATAAAATTAACATTATTATTATTGATCCAATTTTATTACAGTTATTAAAACAAAACTGCATTCATAACTGCTTTAAATTTTTAAATACTGTACCCTGAAGTATCATTTAACTTATCAGCGTTTCAATGAAATACAAATCTGATAGTTATTAATGAATAATTAATTGCATGCAATTTTAATTTATATAATTACACTTATGTTATAGATTCAGTTTACCTACTTCGATTTCAATGATAAATTGCGATGCAAGCAATTAAATTTAATGATGCTCAGTTTTGGTGGTTTTTCAGACAGGAATTGTTTGTCACAATTATTTTTAAATTGAACAAAGAAACCGGCTTTATGTAGTTTGTCCTAAAATTACTGAGGGTGTTCGTACACTGAATTTATTACGTGAAAAGATTCTAGTTCAATTTAATAGCATACTAGTTTTTGCCCGCGACTATGTTCGCGTGGAATAGTACCTAACTCCCTGCAGATTTTTTATTTAAAAACTATCCTATGTCCTTTTCGAGTTCCAAACTATGTCTGTACAAAATTTCACACCTTTAGTATTACCACGGTTTAGTAGTTTAGGCGTCAATAAAAGACATACAGAGTTACTTTCGCATTTATAATATTAGTATGTATGCTAAACAGTAGGCTGACAACACAACAACGATGTCGCAAATTTTAATCGTTTTCTCAAAATAAATGGTCAAAGTTACTGTCCCGTGAAATATTTACAAAATAAGTACTTTTAAGTATTTCCATAATGTTCTTCACGGCAGCCATGATTCAATAAACCCTATAGAATGAAGTAAGCCGTCAGAGCGTCCTTTGCCAATTTGTTTCTGCATGGTTGAACATTAATTACTTGTATTTTGTTTGACCTATTTAAATTAAATGATACTTTTGCGAATAGAAGTGTTAATATAATCCTAGTTTAGAATAATGAAACGGTGACTCGAAGTTGCCTTAACTAAAGTGTGGGAGAGCCATGCTTCGGCACGAATGGGTCGGCTCGGCCGGAGTGATACCACGGCCTCACAGAAAACCGGCGTGAAACAACCACAACGTTGTGTTTCGCCGTGTGAGTGAGGTTACCGGAGGCCCAATCCTTCCCCTACCCCAATCCCTTCCCAGTCCCAAAATCCCCAAAATCCCAATCCTTAAAAGGTCGGCAACGCACTGGTAACTCCTTCTTTGTTGCGGGTGTCCATGGGCGACGCCGATTGCTTACCATCAGGTAATCCGTCTGCTCGTTTGCCGTCCTATCACATAAAAAAAAAAAAAAAACTATTTTCATATATCTCGAATCATTATAAAAATTGTCGGCGAAAGCGAAACCTCAATTGCACATTTCACACGTAACATATTATTATTATTAACCAATTGCAGATCCGCTTAATGAAAACCCAACAAAGGTCGAACTTAAATTAATTATTCAATATCAAGAGAAATGTGTGTTATCGAATTGATACCTTATTGCTAAGTACAATAACAATGATTTCAGATGTATAGCAGAAAGATAAGAGGACCGATAACCGCACTGGAACAAGAACTAGTGACTTTCATTGATAAAAAATGATAAAACACTCGTAATGTTGGTCGTGCTGGATGATAACGTAATGACAGCTTTGACTTAGTCTTCAGAAATTTTAATATTTGTATTTAGACCCTGTTTTGTTACATATGGCCTAAAAGTTTTTTTAAATAATTAAGAGGAAGTAAGAAGCCTGTCCAAGTGTCCACAATTTTTGCACCTTCAAGGATGAATATCTTTGTTCACATAGCAATTGCGAACGACAAAAATCGGCGCATATTATGTAGAATCGTTGTATCAAACATTCTCAACCTCTTTTTAAATTAATTTGATGTTTAATATGTTTCGGTAAACTACTATCTTTCAGTTATACTGAATCCATTCGTAAGTTATTTATGTAAAATAAAAGCAGCTTATAATTTTACAGGTCGATACATTTTGATGTACCTAAGTAACTGATTTTTGCACTTATTATTCTAGCCTCATTTTTACTTTGTTATAATCTGAACAGTTTTAACAGGGCCTCTATCAACTATTTTGTGTGTGTGCTAAAAATACCGAGGTGTCCATTAAACAAGGCAGGCTCATTGCCGGCTTTCAATATCAATGTTTATTTATTGGCGCGATATTACATTCGGATATTTTATGAATGTCACAACACAGACATCGCTTAGGCACTCGATTTCGAACACATAATAGTTATCACAGAACGTAGGTACTAAGCATATTTTTACGAAACCATCTACAGTTTGTATTATATTAATATGTAAGTAAGAATCTAATTTAAAAATTCATAGCAGGTAGGTGCCTTGACACGGCCTTAAAAATATTTTTACAACCTAACCAAGTAGGAATGCTAAGTGTTTTATTATTTTCATTGTAAAGTTAAACCATACCTACTAGGCTATTTGTTTTCCTTGTTGCTTTTGTTGCTCGTGAGCTACAACCACCAAAACAGATTGCTGTGTGCCTAGTAAGGAACAAGTCTTAAACGTAAAAACTCTTAAATGCTTATTACCTATAGATACCTAGAATAAGGACACATTCGGTCCCTCCTACAAAGAAAAGTTAGGCAGTGTTGTTAGGTATTTCATAATATAAGAGATTCGAACCGTTGTCATCAACAATTTATTTAATATCAAAATGATGGATCGCCGCTTCACTAGCAAGTCTTGAATACCGAAGACCCTCGGCGACAGTCTTGCCAATGCTAGCGTAAAAAGGTTGAATAACATTGGTCTAGTTATTTAGGCTATCCATCAATATCTTTTTTTAGCCGAACGTGGAAATCCGTAGATATTGGCGTCACCTCATTGGTGGTAATCGCATCGAAGTGGATAGTACCAAAATTTTTTAGTCATAGACGGCAAACGAACAGGCCGATTACCTACCCGATGGTAAGCAATCAGCGCCGCCCATGGACACCCTCAGCAACGGAAGGGGTTTGCGGACTAGGGTTTTAGGGGTTTAGATTGGGGACGGATTGAAGGAGGCTAAGGGGAAGGGATTGGGCCTACGGCACAGTAAAAATATCATAGATATTATTACCTTGTCTACGGTAACCTCACTCACACGGCGAAACACAACGCTGTGGTTGAATCACGCCTGTTTTCTGTGAGGTCGTGGTATCACTCTTCGGCACAAATGGTTGAGCCGATCCATTCGCGCCGAAGTGTGGCTCACATAGACTAATACTGGTTAAGTACCATATCATTAAATAGGTAGGTACTCATCTACTGGATACCGACGTGTATATATAGAAAGAAACTTTTATTTAAAAACAAGTCTTCGCTATTAGTTGTTATTTTCAAAAATATTGAATAACGACTGATATAGTGACTGATGCAGTTTAAACCTCCGTGTCAATTAGGTAGTAAAGATAAACCAATGAGTTCGACGCAGTTACACCGGTTTGGCCTCAATTAGAAAAACAATTAGGGCCTCGTTCACCATCTCCAAGTAAAGTGTTGATTAGTTACTTCTCAATTAACGTTAATCAGCAAGTAAAGGTTACGAGTATCTTTTGTCGATTTCACAAACGAAAAATAAGCTCCGAGTAACAACTTGCTGGTTAAGTGAGTAACGTAACAAATCATACGTCACATTCGTTCAATATTACGTCAATGTCACTCGTCAAACGTCATTGCAGCTGTCATTTGTGCATTGTTGTTTGTTGTAGTAGTGGATTGTCTGTTCGGTTGGAAATATTAACTTGTGTGATTTTAATTTCTTAAGTTATTAAGTACTTACGTATTTAATTATCATGGATAAAGTTAAAAGAGATAGAAGTGCAAACTTTTCGTTACATGAGAGAGAAATTTTAGTATCACTTGTACAAAAATACCATGCTGTGCTGGAGAATAAACAAAGTGATGCTTCGACGTGGAAAATGAAGGAAGCCGCTTGGGAAAGCATTCAAAATGAATTTAATGCTCGATCTGGAGGCATATTTAGATCGACCAAAACGTTAAAGGTCAAATATGAGGGCTTGAAACGTACAGTCAGGAAAAAGTCAGCTGCATGTCGCTCGGAACTTTACCGTACCGGAGGTGGTAAGAACACAGCTCCTCCACTCGATAATGTGGAAGAACAAATTAAAGCCATGATAACGTTAAGCGCCGATGGCTTGGAAAGTATTTTCGACTCCGATGTATTGCCACAAAATCAAGAAGGTAAGCTTGTTCACTTGTTTAAAAAAGCACTAGGGAACGTGACCGTCTTTACCGATGCGGTCTATTTGAAATCAAAAGTGGTTTATTGTAAATAATTAGTCATACCTATTCAAATAAAATACCTATATGCTTTGTTGCAGACACAATTGATGTTCCTAAAATGGAAGAATTTTTAAGAATTCCACCATTACAAATGGACACAACTGAGGTTGTAGAAAGTGAGGCTACTCAAAACCGTAAGTATCCATAATACTTCCTTTAAAGAAGAGCGGACTCTCCTAATACAGGCACTAACTGCCTAAAAGGAGGATCCAATCTAATATTGTGTTTATACTTATACTTGTTTTTACCAATAAACTATTTATTTATTATTATTATAGCTGTCATGTAGGTACCTATCAACATATTTGCAAAAGAATATAATGTGCCTGCTGTGTCGCACAATCAAAGTTAAATCATTATTTATTTCACATTAATTAACTTGATTGCTAATTATTGCTGTACCTTTTTTACAGAAGTTGTACTGCTTGTTACAAATGAGTTTGAACCATTGCCACCCACTACTAGTGCAGAAACAGTTCTGGAAACAAATATATTAAAAGTAGACAACGTGAATGGTGAGTGTATTTTTGATACTTTTCACTTGTAACCTTCAAGTAATAGCAGTAATGATAAATTAACAGCAACAGTAGTCATGTAAACTTTAGGTCTACCTGACACTGGTTAATATCTGTAACGGCCAGTCTGATACCGGGCACGGCCATGTGCTATTTCTTAATATGAAACAAGAGTTCTCTTCTATAAAAGTAAACATATATTTGAAATTAATATATACTAATTTTTTATTACAGACAAAGCTTTGCATGAAACACCAAATGGGAGATGTGGTACAACTCCAACTACTTCTGCCAATAAAAAATGGGATGTCACTAGCAGAAGAAATTTAAAATCAAGAAAACATCCTGCACTGATTGGTATGACATAATAATAGCATTGTAATGTATATAAAAATGTACAATTTCTTTCTCAACTTAATTTCACTATTGTTTTATTTACAGCTAATGTACCGAAAAAAAACACTTTTTGATGAGCTGACTCAAGCTAAGCTGGAACTAGTTCAGCTCCAAAAAGATTTTTTGGAAGCAGAAATAAATGAAAAAAAGAAGGTGTGGGAATTTGAAGAAAATGAACGCAAGAAGGAGGCAGAGTTTAAAGAAAAGGAGCGCAAATGGAAGGAAGAAGAGTACCTACAAATTAAAATTAGGAAACAATTTTAAATAAATAAATTGTTTGTTTTATTTAGGGTCTATTATTATTTAGTAATGGTAAAAAATATTCTTGCACCAGTCTATTTCTAGGATCATAATTCAGCTCAGGGCTCTGCGCTGCAATTTCTTCCAGAGTCTGTGTATCAGTTGAGTTGTAGTTGTCCCCAAAGTTTCTTTCATTTACATCAATTGCAATATTATGCAATACAAAGCAGGCAACTATTATAGCTTGTACACGAGCTAAGTTTAATGTTATCTGTCGCCTAAGGACAGGAAACCTGTTCTTGCACACACCAAAACATCTTTCAATAGTATTCCTTGTTCGAATATGTGACTCATTATATAAATTTTCTGCCGGGGATGATGGGTTCAGAAAAGGTGTCAAAAGATATTGCTTTAACTCATATCCACTGTCACCAAGAAGTAAGCCATCTCTAAATTGTCCACTTTCAAATCTGTGTTTCAAAGATGAATTATTGAAAATTGTCTGATCATGAGCAGATCCTGGCCATCTTGCTACAACATCCAAGCATTTTAATTGGCTGTCACAAACAACCTGAACATTAATTGAGAAGTTTGACTTTCTGTTCCTATAATTTTCAGCTGAATTGCCTCCTGAAATGAAAAGTGGATGTGGATTACATTTTAATATTTTATTATGTACCCAAATAATGATTACCAAGTTATTATTTTCTTACATTGGCATGACAACATTAAAGAATAAAACATACCAGGTGACTTTATTGCAACATGGGTACAATCTAGAGCCCCTATTACCCTGGGGAAGCTTGCGATTTCATAAAAACCATCTTGAAGGGTGCTTAAGTTGTCAGGGAACTTTATTATCACTGTGCGTAGTTGAGCAATAGCCTCAGTCACCTTCTTAACGATACGGCTTGCTGTTGGTGGACTGACTCCACAAAAATCAGCCGCACTTCTTAAATAGGATCCAGTAGCGAGATACCTCAACGTTAATAGTAGGCTTGTTTTTGTTGGAACTGCTTGATTTCTGAAATAAAGATTTTTATAATGTACCTACTAACTGCACCTACTTACTTCAATCAACAGGTAACAGAACACATAAGTAGGTAGGTACTTCAAATTATAGGAGGGATTAATATGGTTTGATAGGTTATCTTAGGTAAAATCACTTGAATAATTAAAAAATACCACTCACCTTTGCGATTTAGGCATTATTTTATGTTTAATAAAGTTATGCACTTGGTTCACTGCATATTTCGATAGACGAAATCTAGCGAAAAAATCAGTTTCATCCAGGTCCGTAAAATAATCAACACGGAATTTAAATACACGAATCCTCGCTATTCGTTGCGTCGAAGAATGTTCTAATTCATCCAACTGATGATCAATTAAATCAAATAAATCCATTTTTATTCGTTTATTTTAAAATAATCGTTGGTGATGCAAGAAAAGACAACAGACAATACTTAATCGTCGAGTAAAGCACGCTAATTGGCAGAAGACGCGGCAAGTAAGTTACGGGTCAGTTAATCTTATGATTAGTGCTACTCGAACGTCGTGAAACTCGCACGTGAAGTTACGGGTCACTTTAACTGGCGATTAGCCTACTCGACACTTTACTTGAGGGTGGTGAAACAGGCCCTTAAACGGATGGTAAATTGTAGGTGTAGCTACTTAGGTAGATGCGGTGTCACCGACCATTGTAATGCATGACGCACTGATTAAGAGATAATGCAGTTAATTGCAAGATTAACAAAGAATGTTGCTTGAAATATTCAGACGGGCACGGGCCACACTGGATTAATCTACTTAGGCATACTGCCCAATCTTTAAAGAAGGTTGATCAACTGTCAGATAACGATAGGGTAGAATTCACATAAACAATGTTATTTTTTATTTTTTAAATGCATAGGCACTTCTCGTCTTGAGAACTTAATTAAACAAGGTAGGTAGGTACCTATCTCATTTACAGATACTTAGGTATTTACTTAATTGAGTTTATTTCAATCCATTTTTTTTTAGTTTAAATTCCTAGGTGTTAGACAAAAGCCTGTCAGTTTCGATCATAAAACGACTCAAATGTGTACCTGGAGGTTCTACTATTTACGTACCCTGTAGCTTGCAAGTTGCAGATGTCTAAAATGTATTGTTTTATCTTTCAGTTTTGACGAGTACAAAGGTATTTAAAACCAACAAGTACCAAAACAAAGTTGGAATTGGAAAGCAGTCAGCCGTCCCGAGTTTCTGGCTATGTTGAATGTTTACTAATGAAACGTAAGTGGTAAACAACTATTGAAAGTTACCTTAACAAGGTATCCATGGGCGCGACTCAACCCAAACAAGGACGGAAGGTGCCGGGCGCCGATAACGGTCACATATAAATTTTTACTGATTGGATGCAAGGCCAACTTGAATCCTATCTCTGGTTCCAAACTGCCACTGCCGGCCAGCTGGCCTTCCCGACTCGTATTCAAAATGTTCTTCAATTTATTAAGTGAAAATGCCATTGTAAACAAAGTCTTCTCTCCGCTAACTAACGTATCACACTCGCATAAACCGGTTTTACTGAATAATTAATCACGCAATACGATCAATATAATACGAACTCATCGTTATACGATCGCAGTTGCTAGCTGTCACAAACTTTTTGCAATATTCACAACATAACTACGAAAGTTTCAAACACCATTGCATTACACTTGACTAAAACACACGCAATGAAAACCCATACACACTATCGCTATGTATGACTGACTTACGTACGATGAGCGCATACTTCTGTAGATAGTGTCATTGGATGAAGTTATCAAGTTGAATTGTATGAATGAAGCATTCATGTGTTTAGGCAACAATCGGATCTCTCTGTCACACACACATGATTCTACATTGATACTAGCGCCACAAAAAAGGGACGCGAGTAACCTTCTTGTAACATTACCATCATATCTGTGGATGTAGTTTTATTACATTATTACAACAGATGGCGCACCTAAATCGATAAACAGTTTTGTAGGGTCGGCTTTTTTGAATTAGAAATACCTACCTATTGTATATATTGCATATTTTAGAAACAATAATGCAATTGTTATACTTAATGTTGTAATTATATTTGTAGTAGTTAAGTTTAATAATAATATTTTTAAGTTAGGATTATAGTGTTTAAAAATTTTAACATTAGTTATTTTCCCTAGATCAGTTTTGTTTTGTGTTGAAAGAAACATAACTTATATTACAAAAGAGATTTATTTATTAAAATGCGACAGTTCAAATGACACCATATTTATATACATAAAAATAAATGTTAAATATAATTATTTTTCTCACAATAAATCATAAAATTATCTGTTACGTACAAGAAATTAAAAGAAGAAACCTTACACAAGTCATTCACAACAATCATAAGTCTTTTAAGCTTTAACAGTTTATTGATAAAATTTCAATTCCATTTATTTAGAGAGGACTTTACTTAAAACTTTGACGATTCCGTCGTAATAGTGTATAATGATAGAGACAATTAAAACAAACATGGCAAAACATATGCCCGTGATGTACATGAACTGGCTTGCTTCTTGTGGAGTAGCTAATAATTCTTCACTGCTCGCATCCCGATCTAGCGCATCAAATTCAGATGTATCTGCAAAAGAAAGTATATTATAAAACTAATCTCAATTATAAATTAAATTCGTGTTTACTGCTAAACATAGGTCTTCCCCAATGATTTCCAGATAGACCAGTTTGAAGCTACCTTCATCTTCATCCAATAGCTCTCTGCAACCTATATTAGGTAATCCGTCCACTTTGTGGGTGAACGTGACGTACTGCGCTGCGCTTCGTTTGCCAGTACGTGATCTCTTTTTAAGAACCGTCCTGTCCCAGCGGCCGTCGGTTCTCCGAGGTATGTGCCGTGCTCACTACCACTTCAGCTTATTATTTCCTCGTTTCGGAATCGATCCCAAGAAAACACCAAATATAGCTCGTTCCATACCTGAGCTTACATATCAGGTCCACAGTGAAAGCACTATGTACACTGATGTATGTTGGAAATCACTAATTATGTAGAACATATTTATTTACCAGCTGGTGTCTCGACATCACAGATTACATCGGCCTCCGTAATTTTCAGGTCTAACAACTCTCGCACTGAGAGGAGTGCTTCAGCGGGTGCTTCGCCGGGAAATAGATAATCACAGAGGTACAGAGCACCTACTGGGACTAGCACTCGGCGGGGTGGTTCATTGAAGCAAACTTTTTCTGTGGATGTGAAATAATTAATTTAATATTGAATGTATTCAAACCATTAAGAAATTTGGCTCAAGAGTCATTCTATTCACAGGAGAAACTACAAAACAATTCGACAGTAATCTAAAAATCTATTTCTTTTATATTTTAAGTTTTTGTGACGTTGCTCACCTTCAGGTAATAAATTGTCATCAATCAATGCATCACAATGCATAGTGAACCGAGATGCTAAGGATCTTATTATGTCTTGTTTAACAGCTGCAATGGTTTCGCTGACAGTTGCCTTTGGGTACATAAACACACTTGAAGATACCACACCACTAAAATGAATGCTGCCATCACATTCCAAATATTCCACTGTTTCCGGAAGAGAGTTTTCCTGCAAATTTTGATATTTTACTGACTTTGACAAATAGTTTTAAAAAATTGTTGTTTACATAAAACAGATTTCTTTTGTCTGCAAGATAATGCTCTACAATGGCTCATTCATGTATAACATGAGGACTAATGGTGAATTCTAAATAATTAGCATCACAAATAAAGTCATGCATGCATGAGTGAACCATTCAGTGTCTAGTTACACAGTATTGTTTACTTACAAATGGTACAAATAAAGACACATTCATTGACTTAGGAAGTTCCTGCTGAGCAGATTTAGAATTTGTTTTAGGTTTCTTCTTTTTGAAAAGTTGTTCGAGAACTTCCGAGTTGTCCTTGAGTTCACCATCTATGAACATGATGCTAGAGTCAATAGTTTTGTGAGCTGATTCTAAAATTTGCTGGAATTTTAAAAGTGAAGATTAAAACAAAATATCATGAATCATACAACTGTTATGAAAAATACACGATCAATTGTACTGTAACAATAAAACAATCAATTGTAATCCAAAAATTTTTAGAAGTTAACATGTTAGTTTACCTGAAACTGTTGCTTAACAGAAATACCACTTTTCTTCACAATTACAGGATAGACATCATCAAACTCATAATAGCAGTCCAATCGCTGCCACTGTTGGGCTTTCGGCAAAAACTTCCATTCAACTGGCTTGATAACTGTACTTTTGGCTGGTGCACCAACTTCAATACTCTTACAAGTAAGCACTTTTGTACTAGTAGACATATGTAACATAAGTCTTTCATTTGAGTATGGGCAGTTTCCAAACATGTACTGGTTAGTATTCATTGCTTTGTATATATGATTTACAATTGACTTCACTTTACTGAAACTGTTTGGTTCCTCAAAAATGTCTTCATCACTTGTTATGAAGATCCCTGGAATTTAAATAAAGAAACAATGTTGAAATGAATGAATAACAATCAGTTGCTTATGATAATGATATAAGATGAACACAATACGCGTGGGCCATTTCGCGTGCTTGGACGCATATTTTTCTCCTACCGTCTACTTTTGTGATATTGTTTTTACCTTGCTCAATGTATTTTTATTTTAACTTTATTTTACTGTCTTGTTCGTTTTTGTGTCTTTTATGCGTCCCAGACGCGAATAAATACTTTTTCTTTCTTTCTTTTCTAATACAATAATTATAAAAATGGATACTATTCTACAAATAACAAAATGTCAAAAAAATGTTATCTTACCTTGAACAAACATGCCTCCAGGAAGCATTCTAGTTACATGTTTCGCATGATCGGCAACCCATGCCTCGGACACATTAAGAAGTGTCTTTGTTTCTACTTTGTCCGAAACATAACTTGCTTCTGAGGCACTTTCCGAACTTTTCTCATCTGGTGTGCGGGCCAGGTGGATTACATTTTCTCGAGCGGCAGTTGACTTAAATAACAAGGATGCATAGTTTCATTAATCATTAGAACGATGAAGTAACAGCAGAGTTGCAGACGAGTGAAGACAATATACGATAAATGGAGGTTATTAACACGAAGTTCCGGAATTTGATCAACTTCATACAAGACATCATATTAATTAAATCATATAAAGATAATTGACTCACCTGTCCGAGAATTAATCCTATTACAAAAATTTCTTTCGAAGCATATTGCTCTAAATATTGCAAGCAATATTCCGGAGAATATACTGTCCGGACCATTTTTATAATTTATATTATTTAAGGGACATGGACTACTTAATTATTTGTGAAAACCTGCACTGTAGCCTCTATTTTATTATTAAATAGTCGAGTGCAAACTTTGTTTTGTCGTGTCACAGACAGAATTTACACCATGTTTCATTTGTCACCTTGTCAGTCAATGTCAATGTTATGACGTTTGGCAAAATAATGACAGTAACGTCAAAAAATTTATTGTTGCCATAACGTAGTATCTTTGAGAGAACATGGTTTAAATTTCAAAATTGTTTTTCGACAGTGGAGGTGTTTGTGTCGTGTTATGACGTCGATATTACTAGATTATTGTGGAATAAGAGAGATAAGAGATATCCCATTATTGCTGATGTAGGGTGTTGCCAATTTTAAAACAGCAAGAGATAAGAAATTCCTTTGTGATGTATTTTGCAAGGACTACTTATATAATGTAGGGTAGTCTTTTATACCTTGAAAAATAGGCAAATTAATAATAAAAGTTTTTACATTTTTTACTCATGATGGCGCGCGTGGGCCATATTTGATAAGGCATATATTATACGACATTTATTTGAGGGAAGAAAAAGCCTCAAACTTTGCGATAGAAGTCATTAGGCGACTAATAAGTTCTCTCGCCCAGGTTGAGGCGAGGAGTGTCAGTCTCTTACTGAGTAAAATCCATTCCTTTTTCAGCTCCACATCAGCCCTGTTGGGCCCATCTGTGGTGGTCTATTAGCACTATGAGGCGTGCAAGCAACGCTACGCGCCCTACTCGGGTCTGGTTGAGGTCTCGCAGCGAGCTACCCTTGATCACAGACTATAGAAATCTGTGTCCTTGATCGCTGTCCGCATACCCGCGCTTGCAGTAGCCGGAGATCGTCGTTACCTATAAAGTTTCCGTGTCCGGTAAGCACCCGCGTCCGGCGTGTCTCTACACTCCTCTAAGAGGGACGCTATCGGCATGCATGACCGAGATATGGCAATAGCTACCTACGCTCCAGGTTTACTTTTTACCAGCTACTCTCGCGCGGTTTCACCTGCTGCTCGCCTCCATTTAATCGTAGCGTGATGTTTTATAGCCTATATCACCCAGGAACATTGTAGCTATCTATCAGTGAAAGAATTTTCGCATTCCGACCCCAGTGGTTCCAAAGATTACCCCCTACATACAAACTTACAAATTTTACTTCTTTATAATATTAGTATAGATTTCGTAAATGTACCTAAGTATATAAATAACGAAGACTTGAGAGACAATTCCAAAACATTGAGATGTTAATGTTTTTATATCAAAATGAGTAGGATGCATTTTTATTTATCACCAGCGTCTTCTTACTCACCACACATTTCGTTTTAAAAGAATAAATCAACGTTTTTGAATTTTACATATTTATTGTAATGCGCTTTGCAGCTAGTGAGTACAGTGATTGCACAAACAGAACTCGTATTCATTTAGTTCAGAC